TATGTTGTTGGTTCTGACTCATAGTGACCCTGTAAAAGCTTCTAAGGAAGCTTTTTGTTGTTGTTATTGTTGTTGTTAAGTGCCATCGAGTCAGTTCTGACACATAATGACCATTTATAGGGTTTCCAAGGAGTGGTTGATGAGTTTGAACCACCGACCTTGTGGTTAGCAGTACAGTACTTATCCTACAGACCCTCAATAGAAGAACCATAAAATAAGACATGCTAGGATCTGACACAAAACTATCAAACAAAGCAAATGACAAAATACAATGTATAGGACAAATAAAAGTTAAAACATTAAAATATATACATTAAGATAGCCTACAAATCAGTGAGAACAATTCAAATCCTTTAAAAGAAAAATGAGTAACACAAGCAGGCAATTAATAAAAGAAGAGATATGTAATAGAAAATAAATTTATGCGAAATTATTCATTTTCACTAATAATCAAATCTATCAAATTTTTTTGCTGTTTTTACACGAATAACATGTGTGCTATACTTTTTCTTTCTTTTTTTTTTTTTTTTTACCAAATGCATGTTCCCTCCCAAGATAGTTTTCACAAAAATATCTTGAGGGAGAGTGTGCAGTTGGCAAAAAAGGATAACATACAAATTATTTGTGTAAAAGTATACTAAATCAGCAATGATATGTTGTTTTCCTTCCATCAAAGTGACAAGAAAAAATTTAAAAGATAATAATACTTGTCACTGAGGGTAAAGAGAATTAGCATTTTCCAATACTACTTGTGAGAATCCGGGTGTGGCACTGTGGGTTAATGTGCCAGACTGCAAAGCCAGTTGAACTGCAAGGTCGGCAGTTCAAGCTCACCAGCTGCTCAACAGAAACCCTACACAGGGTCGCTATGGGTCAGAACCGACTCCACGGCACTTCACAACACTAACTTTTCTGAAAGGCAATTTGACACAAAATACTAAAGCTGTTTATTTGTTTGTTTGTTTGTTTGAAAGACCATGTATTTTTTGACCCAGTAACTTCACTTTTAGGATTGTATCTTAAGAAAATCATCACTATAAGCTGAAATTTTTAAATAAAAAGTTATTTGTGTTCAAGTTATTCTTTATATTGACAAACAATAAAAGCAAGTTCAATGTTCAATAAGGAGCTCAGGTAAACTATGGGGATTCCATTTTATGCTATGTTTTCTCCCAACAAAAATAATATTCAGGAAGATGGTCTAACACTGAGAAAGTCACAAAAAATCATTAGTGAAAAAAAAAGAGCTCACAGAAGAATAGTGCTTTAGCTATCTACAGCTGCTATAAGAGAACTATCACAATTTGGTAGTTTAAACAAACAGACATTTATCTTCTCAACTTTAGGAGGTTACAAGTTTGAAACCAGGGCTTTAGACCAAGGCTTTGGGTGGTTGTTGTTAAGTGCCTTGGAGTTGATTCCAACTCATAGGGACCCTATATAGAGTTTCCATGGAGTGGCTGGTGGGTTTGAATCACTGACCTTGTGGTTAGCAGTCCAGTGTTTATCCTACAGCACAGCACCCCATCAGGACTCCTCCAGCTCTGGCAGAAGGCCCTTATTCCTTGGCTCCTTGGTGAACATATGTTATAGTGTCTATCTCTTCTCATCTTGTTTGTTTAACCTCTTTCATATCTCAAAGGAGAGTGATTTAAAAGATACACTACACTGAACCTATGGAGTCTCGGTGTGGCGCTTAGGGTAAGCACTGGACAGCAAAGGCATTTGAATCTCAAGGCTGGCGGTTCAAGCTCACCAAGAAAAACCCTATACAGGATAACTCTGAGTTGGAACTGACTTGACGGCAACATCAATTCTTATAACAAATACTACCCAGTCACAAATTGAATTATAAATGCAGATACAGAGATAAGAATTTACAACACATATTTTTTTGGGATATAATCCAATCCATAACAAGTAGTTAAAGGTTGATTCTAATTTTATGGTTAAACATTTAATATAGATAACCATAGGGGAAAATTGAAAGGCTACATAGTAAAATATGGTAGAATTAAAGGCTACCTTTATTTTCTATTTTTTCCTTTCTTGCAATAAATATTTACAATATTTATTCTAAGAAATATTGAGAATGTAAATTATCACTTATAAATATTAAAAATATACAATGCTTGAGATATGGTATTAAGTACTGATAACCCACAACAGTGTGTGTGTGTGTGTGTGTGTATATATATATATATATATATATATATATATATTTGAGGATAACATTTAAAGCACTTTACAAATTCAAAACAATCATGACACTCAGTTGGCTAGCTACTAGATGAGTTTTAGCAGTGGTTAAGTTAGTTTAATATTACTTTATTTTTATTTTTAAAATTACAATAGATCATTGGTATATTTTCTCTAGAATGCACAGTAGGGGGTTCTTGTTATTACTGTTAAGTGCCGTAGAGTTGGTTCTCACTCATAGTGACCCTGTATAGGGTTTTCGAAGAGCAGCTAGTGAATTTGAACCTCTGACCTTATGATTCAAAGACCTTGCAGTCCAGGGCCTATCGTACAGAGTCATACCAGGTAGGAAGAGAAAATAATGTAAAATAAATCAAAATAAGAAATTAAATATAAATCTTATCTTCTATGCCCATAAAATTCAGACAAGCACATGCAAATAAAAGCATATGAAACAGAACACAGAAAAAAAAGCTAAAGACTTTGAAAACACTAATTTTGCATGTTTCAGTTTTCAGATTTATACAGTTTGATTATTTAAGAGTACCACATTTTCAGATTTGTAATTCATAATTACAATTAAAACTAAAGAAACAGGGGGAATGGGAGGAACAAATGCTCTGGAATCCCCAAAATCGATGTTGAATCATAACATAATAAACATTAACTTCTCCATTACTAAGAGAAAGCAAGAGACTCCCATCTTTCATGCTGGCAAAAGCTTGCTTTTGCATTAACCACTTCTGTTTCCAATGTTATCAAACCGATGGCTTTGGAAAGAGAAGAAAACACAGAAAGACGTGCAAAGTAGCACACACTATGTTGTTGCAGCTGGTAGAGAAGATGTCACTAATAACTTTCTTTCTACCCGTCAGCTGTAAGTTAAATTTCATTTTCTTTTTCGTTTTTGTTTTTGCCCCCAAAATAGCAGATAGCCTTTAGGAGTACAAAACAGAAGCAGTGCAATTCAAAATAATATCCAATTTCTACTTGATTTTGACACTGGATTAGTTAATGGAATGTGTTATTAATTATTCACCAGGAAGAGATGACTTCTTTTTCCTTTCATTTGAGTTGAACATAATATCCCTGAACACTAGGTCTCCTTATTAAATTCAAAATAACATTTTTTTCAGATAAACCAAACCCATTGCCGTGCAGTCAATTCTGACTCATGGCGACCCCACAGCGTAGAGGAGAACTGTTGCTAAGGTTTCCAAGTTGGCAAATGGTCTTTATCCTATGAAGTGGCTGATGGGTTCAAACCCCCCACCTTTGGATTAATAACCAAGCACTTTAACTACCACACCACCAGGGCTTCTTTCAAGCAGATAATTATTGCCACATTTTCAACTTAAATGAGTATTATCCCTAGCTAATAGTAAGATTGAAGTCCTGGTGTGGTGCTGTGGGTTAATGCACCAGACTGCAAAGCCATTTGAACTGCAAGGTTGGCGGTTCAAGCTCACCAGCTGCTCCTTGGAAACCCCATACAGGGTCGCTATGGGTTGGAAGCGACTCAATGGCACTTCACAACAACAACAATAGTAAGATTCGCTTAAAATTTTCAATAAAATCAGAAAACGAATGTAGTTAAGTTCCCAAATGGCTGGTGCAAGTCATAGTGATGATTAAGGAATGGTTATGGATTGTATTCATGATACAAACACCCAGGAATAATGCACTTACTGTCCTAGAAGAACTAACAAGAAAGACAAGTTTAGCTATGCAAAAAGTGTAACTTTCTGATTGCTATGGTAACTTCATACTTGAATGGATGGGGAATGTAACTTTTTAACACATCTCAAAGCAGTGACACTAATCATAGGTCTTCCAAAATAAAAATGCTCACCTTCATCACAGTAGAAGAAGGTCATGAAATATTAAGTTATATGAACTGTTTGAGACCGATGATCCTCTCAGTGAACTAAGAATGCCAATAAACACAATTTGGGCTCATGAGTGCTTTCTTAAGTGAGAGGTACCATTCTATTAACCTTCTCAATGAGTCTATGAGGTAGGTACTGTTATTATCATCACTGTAAAGATTACAATTTGAAATATACAAAAGTTAAATGACTAGCCCAAAGTTACTCATCCTAGTAAATGGTAGAGCTGGGATTTTTTAAAAGGCTAAATGAGATTCGGAATCCCTCCCATAGATCATTGTTTACTAGCATGCACAGCACTTTTTAGAAACTCTTTTTTTAAAGGTGCTACAATTGTCCTCTTTTAATCAGATGAAATTCAAATTAATGTACTGAACTTATAAATTATTACTACGGTTTTGAAAAGGAAAAACTAAAATCATCTTTAATTTGCTCTCCATGTTTTGACAGACTATTTTATTCTTTTTCATATGTTCCTACTAAGTAAATTATAAAGCAGCTTAACCTTTATTAAATATATAAATTATATGCTTAAAGAATAATGCAGTGTGATTTTTCATATTGTAAACATTAGAAAGAATAGAAGTTGAAAAACTATGTATTTATCCTTACATTTATAAACAAGCATTGTTGTTGTTGTTGTTAAGTGCCGTCAAGTCGGTTCTGACCCATAGTGACCCTGTACAGGGTTTCTGAGGCTGTAAATCTTTACGGGAGCAGAAAGCCTCATCTTTCTCCCGCAGAGCACCTGGTAGTTTCAAACTGCTGACCTTAAGGTTTGCAGCCCGATTCATAACCACTACGCTGTACTAGAGTTAAGAATTTAGTGTTAGGGTACAGAAGTAAAGCAAATACGTTGCTATATTAAATAATATTTCTGTATTAATATATTTGACATTTTGTATATTGTACCTTTAATTTCTCCAAGAAGTTCACTGGTATTTAGCCTTTCCATTTTTTCCTTCCAATCTTTTGAAAGAAGTTTTTCCATGCAGGAGGAATCTATTAAGATACAAAATAATATGTACATTACATATTTAAAATACATATGTTGTTGATAAGTGGTATTGAATCAGTCAAATACTGTGCAAATATATATGTTCAAACATACACTATTAAATTACTAAAGTATTTTTAAACATATAAAAATTTATGTGATGTATACATCCAGAAGGCCAGGAGATAGAGAAATTTTCATTTAAAAAAGCACAACAGGATTTTTTTAGCGTTTTAGCAATAAACCAACCAAACCCAGCCCACTGCCACCAAGTATATTCTGATTCATAGTGATCCTAGAAAATTTCAGTATTTTGTCTAGTTCAAAATACTACAACTCAATTTACTTGTACCAGAGGATTCTTTAAACTGTTGTTGAGTGGGGTGGGGAGGGAAAGATAATACTCAGTAATTTCATTTTGGCATGAAAATAATAATCTTATGAATAATCAACATCTACCATTTCCTAGGCTGATGATAGGATGGAAAAGGGGACTCTCCTGGTTTTAGTTTAAACGTTATTGCTTTTAATCCAGATACTTTTTTTAAGCACAAGCAAAATTTATGTGCTAGTCAAGGAAAGTGACAGATCATCAAGGGGGAAGCCAAGCAACTTGTAACCACTTAATCCTTAACAAAGAAATAAACATGTGAAAACTTTTGTAAAATACCCATTGAAATAGAGCAAAATTGGGAGAGGGGGAAAAAAAAAAACACCAAGATGTTCACTGTTTCTTAGTAATAAAAACTGCTAAAATTTTTATATTAAAAAAGATGCATGTTATAATTAATAAAAATACTTCCTTAAATACTAGTGTTTGCCACATGACTTTTCTAAATAGCATTCCAGATTATAGGTAGTGATTACACTTGTTTTATAACGATTCGTAAAGTTACAGAAATCCATACTTTAGATTATCCTAATAATTACATTTTTCTCCATGAGTTAATTTTTTCCATTCAGACAGATTTGTTACTAGGATTACTGCTTACAACTATACATGTACATCTTTTGAGTCTCAAATCTAAACAAATAGGCCATGTTCCTAAAAAAGAATGCAGATTTAAATGCTAAATCCCGAGTGTAAATCATACTCCCATTAAACTTTAACATTCCAAGTGTCAAAATTCTGATAACTTCTTTTTAAAATTGTATTTCAAATGGTTGCTCCAATTCCAAATGCTTTTTCTCTCTCCTATCAGTACCTATCTCTTTAGCATTTTCCCTTTTATTTATTTATTTTTTCTCCAGCTTCTAAATCCTCCTTGAATTTTTCAGAATGACAGTAAGGTCAAGATGGATCTAAAGGGCTTTCTAAGCTAGATAAGCGTTAGAAAAAGACAGTGAGTCCTGGCTAGCAGAGAAGAACATGGCATGATTAGAAAGTATTGGTGAAAACAATTAACATTTACCCATGACATGATCAATCAATCAAGGATTGGATGGAATCCAGATCAATATGTCATGAAATTGCAATGAAAGGCAACCACACTATCTAGGTAGGACCAAAGTTAGTTTTGTTTTTTCTAAATAAAGGCGACTTGATTCCACTATATAAAAGTTTCCTGGCCCTTTCTTCCCTTCCATTTTCTCTCCTTCTTCTTTCTTTCTGCTCTTTCCTTTTTTTTTTCCTTTAAATAATTCTTCTTGTTATTGTTGTTAAGTGTCATAGAGTCGGTTCTGACTCATAGCAACCCTGTAGAGGGTTTCCAAGGAGTGGCTTGGGGGTTTGCACTGCCAGCCTTGCAATTAGCAGTCCAGTGCTGATCCTAGACTTCAACAAGTAATTAACCACTGTGAGTAGGAGCTCTGGTAGCGTAGGTCAGCAGCTCGAAACTACCAGCTGTTCCGCGGGAGAAAGATGAGGCTTTCTGCTCCCGTAAAGATTTACAGCCAGATTTACAGCCTCGGGAACCCTGTACAGGGTCGCCATGACTGACTCCAGGGTACAAACAACAACAAAAGCTGGAGTCTGAATGACCTGACAATGTAGCTGTATAAGCTCAGGTGGTATTTAATTGCCACAGTGGTGTTTGGATAGTGTTGGTTGTGTATTATGGACTCAGTCCAACTCATAGAGACCCTGTATAGGATTTCTGAGGCTGTAAACCTTCCCATAAGCAGAAAATCTCATCTTTTTTCCACCTTTTTTCCATGGAGCAACTGGTAGATTTGAACTGCTGACCTTGTAGTATTTCAGATTCAGAAAAGAGGTATATACTGTGTTTTATGTATGGTTTATTTCTATGCTAAGTTCATTAAAAAGATAGTACTAAATTTGAAAGTCAAGAAGAAAAATTTCAAAGCCATGCCTTAAGAAATTACTTTTGTCAGTACGATATAAATTTCGGGGAGATGATGTAGAACATCAGATGATGGTTAGAATTGTCTTCAACTTTATATCCTTCCCAATTACTTTCATTCTTCCCCTTCATATGTTATAGCATTACATTAAACTGATAATTACTGATAAAAGCACTGAAGCATAACTTGGCTGTTTAAAATTTAAGTTGAGTATATATTCTAATGGCAAAAGACAAATGCCCAATTTATTGGTAATGATCACAAATTCAGAGCAAGTTCATAAACTCGAATTAGATCCACACATGGATATAAAACATCCTAAAATATGCCTCTCTGTTCTAAATATAGGTCTGAAATCTTTCAGCACTCCAGGAAAAGAATGCTGAAACTTCATGGGAGAAAAATAGAACTATATGAACAACAGGAACACACACTTAAAACATAAATCAAGCCATGTGGATACAGCTTTACCTAAAAGCCACTCATTAATAAAATAGTTAATAACTTCAAAGCAGTTCACATTCTTATTAGAAACTTAATCCTTATCATAATGCTAAGTTAACCTAGCTATGAGTTCCCACTTCAGGGGGAAAACCTGAAGAGAAAAAAAAAAAAAAAGTTTTTGCCTATGTACATTTATTGCCCATGAAAATATATTTCTTATCAATCTCTGACTACCTTTATCAATAGGACAACAGAAGTCACTACATTCAATCTTTCAATGTTTGATTTCAATTCTAAGAGATACCAGGAAGAGTTCAAATTGTGAGGAAGTCTCCCTTGAAAAGTCCTTGCTTTTTCATTCCTAAGGGCATACACATGCCACAATTAGTGCTAAGCACTTTTCAAGCTACAATGTAAAGCTAGTAAGCTGAGAGAGAAAAAAGAATCAAAAGACGCAGACTGTTACCAAATAACATTTAGGCAGAGGATATTGTTGCACTGACTTGAAATGAGGAAATATGCTCATATAACACAAAACTACAAAGAAACATTTACATTTTCAAATTTCCCACTTAAAGCCACATCCTGATAAGAGTGCAAATGAAAAGAAGAAGTTATGGACCTGATGCCACACCCTTCAGTTACATTAATACGGCCCTAGGTTTCCAGCCATCGGAAACCCTGTGGGGTACAGTTCTCATGGGGTCGCCATGAGTAGGCACTGACTTGACAACAGTTGATTTTTTAGTTATAGTTTACAGAATCAACTGAGCAGATTAGACTCTGCTCTATTCTGATCAAAAATGCAAAAACTTAAGAGGTCAAAATAATTAAGACCACAATTTTTGTACATGAAAAGAATAAAACCACACAGAATGACTTTAATTCAGTAGTCATGTAGAATTCCAAAGAGAGAAACAAACAAATAAAATGACTGAATGCTCCCATATAATCTTAGATTATTTTATAGAAATGAAAATGCTTAATGATTCACTTGAAAACAACTAATATAATTTCAAGATGACACAATCTTTAAATAATTAAACAATTTACAGAATATTTTATCATTGACTATTCATGTTTTGTTAACCTTGGCCAACTATGTTGTCTGCACATGGAAAACAGGAGAGGAACTGCATACTTTTCAGAAACGAAGATAAAGAAGTGCAACTCTAGAGCATAAAACTGCAACATTATATATATATAATATATATTTTATATAATATATATATTATATATATATAATGTTGCAAGGTTGATTTGAGCCACAATCGGCATTCAAGCTCACCAGTTGTTCCTCAGAAACCCTATGCACGGTCGCCATCAGTCAGAACTGAACGGCACTTAACTATATATATATAGTTGTTGTTGTTAAGTGCCGTCGAGTTGGTTCTGACCCATAGCGACCCTGTACAGGGTTTCCGAGGGTGTAAATCCTTACGGGACTAGAAAGCCTCATCTTTCTCCCGCAGAGCGGTTGGCAGTTTCGAACCGCTGACTTAAAGGTTCACAGCCCGATTCGTAACCACTACGCTACCAGAGCTCATATAATAAAGTTATATATATATATATATATAACATATATATAAAATAAAGTTATATATATATATATATATATAACTTATATATAAAATAGTTATATATATATAACTTATATATAAAATAGATATATATATATAACATATATATAAAGTTATATATATATAACATATATGTAAAATATATTTATATAAAAGCTCTGGTACCAGCTGTTCCACGGGAGAAAGATGAGGCTTTCTGCTCCCGTAAAGAATTACAGCCTCGGAAACCCTGTACAGGGTTGCTACGAGTCGGAATCGACTCCACGGCACTTAACAACAACAATATATATATATATATATATACAATGATTCAAATTTATATATATCTCTAAATGAAATGAGTATATAATGAATGTCTGTATATATATAAGTGAAAGTCATAACATTTCAATATTAAAAATGGCAAATGCCAAAATTAATTCCTCTTACTTTAAAAGAATCTGTTCCTTTAAATCAAGATCTACTCAATGAAAAGAAGAACTATATTTATTTTGTCTAGTTTAAGAAAAAAAGATAGTTAAAAAGGACTTTCAAAAACCAAGAGCTGTTCCTTCTATATTTTAATAAAGAATGTAAAAGGTTTGGACATATTATAAATATCTCAGTTGCAAGATTGTTCTTTTTCTCTTCCAAGAATTTTTTCTAAAGAAACAGGGAAAGAGACAACTGAGAGCTAT